TGCTGGATTCCCCCCCCCCCAAAAAAAGTTGCTTGCATTCCTATCCCAGGAGCCTGTGGAAAAATTTGAAACATGTTTTGTACCTAACACCATCGAATTTAATTACATCTGAAGCATGTCCTCTGTTCTATTTCATGATTTTACAAACTGCAGACTAGGAGATTCTCTGCCATACCCTGAAACTCTTTTATGTGCCCTGCCCTCCTATTCTTTTTGAGTTTTGTTCCGAACCTTTATTAGCCTGATTTGAAAAGCTCTGGGGAACTAAAAAACCTGCTCTTGTGTGATAGTTTCGTCATAGTAAAAAGGTATTACACAACTGTTGTTTATGGACCAATATGGCTACTTGCAATTTTTGTAGTTTATTCCATTCTGGTGTGACAATTTTTTCATAAAGGATGCAAGTATTTGTGCTGTGTGACATGTCATTAGTAAAATGGTCTTAAGGATGTGCTTCCTCCAGGCTACAGTCAGTTTATGGAGCGAGAGCTCTAATGCTGTTATGGAATTCTACCACCCATAATGACATCTTTATTTATTTCAGTAGGGGCAAATGATAATGGGTCACTTCCCTTTGTATGTGCATAGCTGTTTCTTCTATTGAAATGAATGGATTCTTATACCCAAGAGTTCTGTGGGCACTGTAAGGATGCTGGATAGGACACCTATCTCATCCCATGCTTGCCTTCATTCTGTTATTCACACACAGTAAAATTAGAATATCTTCAGTAAGTATGTAACACTTGTACCTTGTGCAGTGTTAACGGAATGTGTCAATATTTTCCTTCATCAGGTTTTGAGTGACGGGCAGCTGATTAGTCAGAATGGTACAACAAAGCCAATATTAACGGTGACACTGTTTGGGAGGTGGTACGAAAGTGATCCACCACGTCCAGAAAAGGTTTGTCTGAGATGTTCTGGACTAAGAATTTCAGCAATGTCATTACAATATTTTCTTACTTTACTTCATACTTCATACTTCTTACTTTCTTACTTTAATTCATAAATTATCATTTTGAAACAGTTGTTGCTTTTTCCTGATTGTGGCATAATCAAGGTTGTTCCATCCTACAGTAATGATCACATTCATAACACATTTAGTGTTGTCTATCAAGTCCAAAAGAACGTGCCCTTGAAGTTCATTCTCATACAAAACAAAAAAATCAGTCCGACTCCAAACCAGAAGACCTAGGTTGGGTGTTATAAACTGTGGCTGGTTGGCTTAGGCTGAGCTGGCTGAAATTGAATCCGATGAAGATGGAGGTCCTATCCTCCTCTTTACAATCAAATCTGTGTTAAATCAAAACAACTTATATTTCTATCCCTTTAAGGCTAATATACTGTCTACATTATAAACTCTTATCTTTGGTGTAAATCCTTCATAATCTCCTTCCCATCTCCTTGCGCGTTTCCAAGACTTATCCACTCTCCTATATCCTACCAATTCCTTGCATTCAACGTAGGGACAACTTTTAGTATTCACTTTTTATTTCTTTTTCACTTATTATCTTTATTACTTTGTTTTATTAACAATCTAGAAAAACCGTTATATCTTTTCTCACTCTCCAAGTAGCTCTATCCTTCCCAATAACTCCATATCTTTCCTGTATAAATTGCCCAACTCATGTATCTTTCTTCACTCTGAGATTACCCTCTATTCTCCATACTCTGATTTAACCATCATCAAAATACTTTAACACCTGCTTATATCACAACCAATCCCTCTAGCCACTATTAAAATTAATTCTCAACCACAGTGTTCCAATATACTTAAATATAATCAAATTCTCCAAAAACCTAACATTCCTACCACCTCCTTTCTCCATCTTACCTCACCTATACTCCATTAACTTAAAATAATAATAACAACAACAACAACAACAACAACAACCATATAAATAAAATCCAATATTTTCTATTTTCTTAGTACCTTATCCACTATTTTACCATTTCATTATTTTAAATTATAGCCATGGTTTAAATTTTTTTTTTAACTTTTATGATATTTCATTATATTTCAATTCATTAATACCCTTTATACTTAATTTAACATTATATAATTTGTACTTAGAAATTCTTATTGTTACTCCAAATCATACCCAAAATTTATTTTAACCATAATATTCCACTATATTTAAACATTAATAATCCCCCCTAATATAACCATCACCTTATTTCTGTACACCTTCGCCACCAACAATAAATACAAAAATAAGCAGGTTTCAGGTCTGTATTCCGTATTATATCTTAAGAAAACATTCTTTCCAGTCTTTTTGTATAACTTATTCTTCCTCTTAACCATCTGCAGTCTACCTTTCCGCTTCAGCATTTCTATATGCCTGCGTTCTTTAAATGTCTCCTGGCTTTCATGCTTTTCCTCTCTGCTATCCCTCTATTCGGTTCTCCAGAATTTATTGTCCCCTCTAAATTTTCACACTCGTCTTTTCCTTCTTTTTAGCCTTTTATCTCTCTCTCTTTCCAATTATTGGCCTTGTCTCTTGTCTTTTGGCAATCCTCTTTTAATGCCAGGCATTTCTCTGTTTGAGTTCTTTCTTACTGTACAAACTGTGTGTGTTAGGGAATGCTATTTTGTGTTGCTTGTAAGGTTGAAAGCTGTTATAGGACTGTGTATGTTTGTATTCTTGCTAATGAATTTGCATAAATGTATAATATAACATAAACTTATAAAACCCAATAAATATATATTAAAAAAAGAAGATGATGGAGGTCCTGTGCCTGACTCAGAGCGGTCCCAGGGTAGGGATCCCACTCCCGACCTTTGATGGGGCACCACTCATGTGAGTGCCAGAGGTTAGGAGTTTGGGAGTGCTCCGAGACGCCTCCTTAACAATGGAGGCCGAGGTAGCAGCCATTGCCAGATCTTCGGCTGATCAGGCAGTTGGTTCCGTTCCTTGAACGCAATGACCTGGCAACAGTGATCCATGTGATGGTCACCTCGAGATTGGATTACTGTAATGCACTCTACATGTGGACAAGGGGGATCCAATAGATATTGTTTACCTTGACTTCCAGAAAGCTTTTGATAAAGTTCCTCATCAAAGGCTCCTAAGTAAGCTCAAAAATCATGGGATAAAAGGACAAGTCCTTTTATGGATCAAAAACTGGCTAATTAATAGAAAACAGAGAGTGAGTATAAATGGGCAGTTCTCCCAGTGGAGGGGTGTAAGCAGTGGGGTACCACAGGGATCAGTACTTGGTCCACTGCTTTTTAACTTGTTCATTAATGATTTGGAGTTGGGAGTAAGCAGTGAAGTGGCTAAATTTGCAGATGATACGAAGTTGTTCAGGGTGGTGAAAACCAGTGAGGATTGTGAGGCACTCCAAAGGGATCTGTCAAAGATGGGCAAGTGGGCGTCAACATGGCAAATGGGGTTCAATGTGGCCAAGTGCAAGGTGATGCACATTGGAGCCAAAAATCCTAAATATAAATACACATTGATGGGGTCTGAACTGGCAGAGACTGATCAAGAGAGAGATCTTGGAGTTGTAGTAGATAACTCACTGAAAATGTCGAGACAGTGTGTGACTGCAATAAAGAAGGCCAATGCTATGCTGGGGATTATTAGGAAGGGTATTGAAAACAGATCAGCCAATATAATAATGCCCCTATATAAATCAATGGTGAGACCTCATTTGGAATACTGTGTGCAGTTCTGGGCACCACACCTTAAAAAGGATATTATAGCTTTGGAAAAAGTGCAGAAAAGGGCAACTCGAATGATAAAAGGGTTGGAACACTTTCCCTATGAGGAAAGGTTAAGGCGCTTAGGGCTCTTTAGCTTGGAGAAACGACGACTGAGGGGTGACATGATTGAGGTTTATAAGATTATGCATGGGAAAGAGCAGGTAGAGAAAGAGGTACTTTTCTCCCTTTCTCACAATACAAGAACCCGTGGGCACTCCATGAAATTGCTGAGCGGTCGGGTTAGAACGGATAAAAGGAAGTACTTCTTCACCCAAAGAGTGATTAACACTTGGAATTCACTGCCACAGGAAGTGGTGGCGGCTACAAGCATGGACGGCTTCAAAAGGGAATTAGATAAGCATATGGAGCAGAGGTCCATCAGTGGCTATTAGCCACAAGGTATAG